ATATTTTTTTTCAAATCCAATCACATAGCAAAAAATGCAAAACTTCCCTGCAAGATTTATGCAATATGCTTCCTTTTGTCAAAGGCAATTTAGATAGATATTTTATCTGCCATTTACCTCAATCCTCAATTTTAATATTTTGGTATCTTGAGTATTTCCAAAATATTGGTTTTACTGTTAGATTACCTCAAATTAAAAAAATATGTTTTTACTAAATTAAAACATCAAATTGATTTTTATCAAAGCTTATGCTGAAATGAACTGGGGAATGCATGACAGGCTATCAGAGAATTGATTAAGAGAAAATCAAATAATTTTAGAGAAACTTTTCTATAAAAAGCTGTTCCAGGGCCCAACATGTTACAAAGCACAAATGTGTGAAGTACACCTGCAGTATGGAAACAGTACAACAAAATGACCGTTTTACACTTTTTTTCGAGTAAATTCCACTCTAATATATTCTATTCTCTTTGACAGTCACTTCAATAATTTCTAAAAGAGACTTCAGTGTAATTTTTAGTGACACTCTTGTCAAAAGAGGGTCATGTCCGATTCTCGATGTTACCCTTGATACCTTTCACTGATCAATGACGTGGGCGATATTGTCGTTTTTCGAGCTTAAAAAGTGTTTAATTCGACCAGCTTTCTCCATGGTCTCTGAAAAAGAAATACTTTCAAGGGTACCGTCGTTAACTAGACATGCTATTTTATAAATGGAGAATATCTTTAAATTTCATCTACAGTCCCTTTAAGACGCTGGAAAGTATATGAATGTAAACGGTGCATGAAAAGGTATCGTAAAGGAAGTATTTAATTATCTGCATAATTTAGTCCGTGAGAAAGTGTGATTGTTTATCTTTAGCACAAGCTTGTGTGTGTGTGTCATGTTTCTCCTTATAGACGCAACAGATAGAAGTAAGATTAGAAGCGATCAAAAGCGCTTTTTTATCGCATTAAGTCTATACCCCCTTTCATTTTTCGCGAACACTCTCTTTAAGCACACAAAATTTCACTAATTTCACTGTAAGATAAGCACGTTATTATAACGTTTATTAATAATTTAGTCGGATACATCAAACTGTTGACACTTGTATCGTAAGAATGCAGCTGTACTGAGAGTGTACAAATTCTACTTTGCCATCTATTGTACTTGATAATCTATTTGGTTTTAACACACACATACAAACACATACTAGCACATAAAACACATACATAAACATTAAAAACACACCCCAACACATACAAACACATACAAACACAAACAAACATATACAAACACAAACGAACACACCCAAACACATACAAACACAAACAAACACATACAAACAAAAACAAACACATACAAACACAAACAAACACATACAAACACAAACAAGCATATACAAACACATACAAACACAAACAAACATATACAACCACAAACGAACGCATAAAAACACAAACGAACACATACAAACACATACAAACACATACAAACACAAACAAACACATACAAACACAAACAAATATATACAAACACAAACGAACACATACAAACACAAACAAAAATATGAAAACACAAACAAACACACTCAAACACGTACAAACACAAACAAACAAATAAAAGCACAAACAAACACATACAATACATTCAGATCATGTAACAATTAGTATCATATTTTTATTAAACTCACACATGTGCAGAAACACAAACATACAAACAAACAAAAAATCAAACAATATTAAAACACACACTTAAATAATTTTAACACACACTTAAACAATGTTAACACATACTCACACAATGTTAACATATACTCACACAATGTTAACTCACACTCACACAATGTTAAAACATACTCACACAATGTTAACACATACTCACACAATGTTAACACATACTCACACAATGTTAACACATACTCACACAATGTTAACATATACTCACACAATGTTAACTCACACTCACACAATGTTAATACACACTCACACAATGTTAACACATACTCACACAATGTTAACACATACTCACACAATGTTAAGACATACTCACACAATATTAACACATACTCTCACAATGTTAACACATACTCACACAATGGTAACACATACTCACACAGTGTTAACACATACTCACACAGTGTTAACACACACTCTCACAATGGTAACACATACTCACACAGTGTTAACACATACTCACACAATGTTAACACACACTCTCACAATGTTAACTCACACTCACACAATGTTAACACATACTCACACAATGTTAACACACACTCTCACAATGTTAACTACATACTCACACAGTGTTAACACATACTCACACAATGTTAACACACACTCTCACA